GCAGCCATCTTCATTGAAAGGTTTTGCAGTTGTTTATTCTCTGTGACCAGTATATTGCCCGTGCTAACGCTATGTGAATATCTAGAAAAAAAATCATAAAACTACATTTAGATAGCAAGTCAAATATGCAGCTCCATGTTGCTTCTGAATACTGGCATAATAGTAATATAACTATGGTACTGATACTTCCAAAAGAAAACTATTGCCTAGAGTAGGAATCTGTAAAGACTTGAAAGCAACCAGCAAACACTAATTCCTCCATATTCGAACCATGTACAGGAATGAGCCCATTCACAAACTTGTCACACACACATTGTATTCCAGACATTGACAAAACCTCTAGATGATTATTCTTCTATAGAGCAGGAAGAATCAGCATAGCATCCACGTTTGTGCAGTCATCTATATACAAGTTCCCTAAGAACTGAATGTCGATTCCAGATGAAGTGAGAAGAGAACACTCGCACAGATTTAGGGAACAACCTGATAGCTCTCAACTTGCAAATTTAGGGGCCAGCTTGATAGCTCTCTCTTTTGCTGTTTGTTTTCAATGTGACTCCATAGAAGCAGAAACTGATCCTGAGTTGTGCTGAATCTCTTTGGAATCCACAGGATCGAAATCTGGCTCGTCCTCACTTGAGCTCAGAGATGATAGACTATCTTCTGCAACCATCTTGACCCTATACATTTTGTATAACAATGGCTAACTAAGTTGATTCAGTCATAATAACCTCACTGATTCAACAAAGGAACCCCACTGAAGCTATTATCAGTTTTCACTCAGATAGTGAAAGAGCAACACCAGTGTTCCTTAATAAGGAGCCCACCCATTCAAAATTTCTGCCATCAAACAAAAACTCTGGAGTCACTAATGCATTCAGGGTCTATTTTTATCAAGTGAGTTATTCTCAAATTCTCATACCCAAGCACTAATTTGGAGCAAGGGGAAAGAAAATACCTCACTGCAGTTTGACACTGCATGCAACAAGAAAAGGTAGTATCAACGCCACTAGAATATGAACCTGGGCAATATTGAGAAAATAACAGCAGTGAGCTTTTGTTCTTGTATAAACAATGAAATTGCAAATGTAAAATGGGTTATAAAATAAAATGCAAATTATATCATATAAATATAATTTAGCCCCTTCTTTTTTGAAAGGGCATAGCAAGTTATTTTCATGTGCATCCCTAAAATATTGTTAGCAAAAAAAAATCATACTATGCTCAAGTTATTACCTTGCGGCTGCAATCTCAAGCCAAACAGTTAAGCATGAGAGAGGAGTTACATCTGGAAACCATGAAACAATCATGGCAAGCAAAGACCACTGCATTTATTTTGCTTTAATCAGGAGTGCCTCCCCAGTTTTTTTTTTGCTTTTCACATACTCCAAGAATGCAGAAAGGTTCCATGGAATTATTGCCATCAACAGTAGCAAAAGATGAATCACTGCTTCCTGGAGGTATATTACCAGATGCTTTCCTTTGAAGTGACATCATATTTTTCATAGTAGTCAGTATGTGAGTCCTCAATCTTGAATCCCTGATCTCTTTGGCTGCCTAAACAGTGAACACAACAACGACAGGAATAAATTAGTTCATGGTATTCACAACAAGTTATCATCAGAAACCCTAAAATACAAAGCTTAAAAAATTACCACTTCATAACAACTTCAATAGGAGATCCAGCTATCTGAGCTTCTGTTAAAAAACTAACCTGCCAAAAGGCACAATTACAATCAGTGTGTGGACTTATCTAAATAACAAAAAACCTAAATAACATACCATATGAAATTATGAACGAACAGACAAACTAAACTATTATGGATTATATATCTCTATATCAGTAGCTGTAATTAGTAACACACCGATAGAAATTATTAGCATCACATATATACAAGACAAAATTACCAGCAATTTTGATATTGCTAAACTAAGCGAAAGGTGCATAGCAACATTACCTACTTGCCTCTGCCAATAGATTTACCAAGCTCTCCAATTGCTTCTGCCGGATTCAAGTCCAGGTACCAATGCAGACACAAAAACAAGTTAGTTCCTCCCTAACCCTCCATCTCTAAAGAGGAAACCAACAAACCGAGACCAACTGCAGGGGTGGATCCGATAACTTTTACAGCAAAACCGAATTTTGCAGGCAAGATACATGTACACGCTTGTAATTAGATCAGATCCGAGTACACGAAATAGCTTAAGCTAGGGTTTGGGTCCTCGGCATCGCACAACTGGGAAAACAGATAAGGGATGGGCATACCTATTGGTTGGTCGTCGCTGGCGAAGGGTCCGGCAAAGACATGGCGAAGGGCCCGATGAAAACCTGGGCAATTGTCATTCGATGCCAAGGACGGCGGGGGCGACCGGAGCGGGCGGCGCGCCGGCTTCGAGATTGCAGCGAGCATCGAGCGCACGGAGCCACAGGCGGGCCGGACGGGACGGCCTGTCGTCGCCGTGCGTTCCAGGTCCCGGCCCTGCCCCCGCCCCCGCCCCCGCCTCCATCTCCGCCGCGATGCAGCGGCCTCAGACCCAGCCCGCATCGCGGGGCCAGCCACGAAGCCGGCTAGGGGGAGAGGCGCTGATGTGGCTGCACTACGAGGGGCTCGAGAAAGTGGAGAGCGCAGCGGAGGCATCGGCGATGCGCACGAGGGAGCAGGGTGCAGGGGTGAGAATGCGGGGTGAGAAGCCTGGCATCCCACATTGAATTGTGGCCATCGGATTAGGTTAAGGTGTTGGATTAACCCTTGATTTTAATGGTGCTGAATTCGTGTGTGTATTTTTTTGGGTGCGCAATGGTTGGAGGCTCCCAGCGGGGGATGTTTTCATGGGGGGGCCTAGTATAATTTCGAATGGTCCATTATAGTAGAGATAAAGTTTATGCGTGATGGTGTAACACCCTAAAGATTCAGTTTCGGAAAATGGATGAAATTTGATTTAATTATGCCTTTTGTGTGCATTAAAACATAGGGAAATAATAAAAATTTATAAAATTAAAATCAAGTATAAGGCTTAGATACTTATTGAAGCACTCCTTTTGCTGCCCATATTGCTTTTTGATGCTTGTGTTTGGTTTGAAAATTAAAACTTTGCTTTGATTTTGTTCATGGTTGCCTTTGTTTTTGAAACAAAAAGAAAAGGGTTCCCTCTTTTCCTCCCTCCATCTAGCACTTTTCTGGCCCACAACCGCAGCAGCCTCCTTTCCTAGGCCCGCTTGGAAACCGCACCGGCAGCCCAGCTCCCTCCATTTAGCCAAACCAGCCCACTCCTCTCTCTCGGGCTTAGCCAGCACCAGGTCAGCCCAGCGTGCATCCGCGTGCCACAGGCCCATTGCGGAGTCAGCCCAGCTTCCCACGTGTCCAAGCCCACTCCATCCTTTCTCCCGCAGGCCATCGTCATCCCTCAGCCCTAGCCCAAAACTTCATCAGCCCATGCCACACCCCCTACTCTCACTCGCTGACGGAATGGACCTACCCCCCGGCACTCGCTGACACTTTGGTCCATGGGCCAGACTCTCCTCTTTCCCTTATCTCCTATTGCGTCCGGCTTGGACACATCCGAGCGGATCCCGTGATCGCCTCGATCTAACAATAATGTTCACGGATAGGAGATCATGACCCCCCATATAAAACCCAGAGAACCCCTGCCCCACCACCTTTTGGATTTACATGCCATTTTTTAGGGGCCGGGAGGGAAGTTCCCTATCTATTTTTTCTATTATATATAAACAAGGGGCTGCAAGTGCAGCAATACAACATGGCCTTAGACCCAAAAGCAACACGACCTTATGCACTGCTTTTAGCCATAGCTAGCTCCACCGCCTTTGGTTGGATCTCGCTAGAATCAGAGAAATTTCGTCATCGCGTTGACGTTTTCCACTATGTTGCACCGTCTAAGACCTTTTGCCGGGCTTCGCATCAGGGTAACAGAGCCATAGGCGCTGCTTTTTCTCTTTCTCTCGATCTCTACTGCTATCACCCCGCCGCTGACCACGCGCAGGAAGTTGTCATCCACCGCGTCGAGCTCCGCCCTTCCGCTGAGTCTTTCCTGCCATTGAGAACCCCGGAGGTGAGTTCGTTGTTGCCTCCTTTCTTCCCATGCTTTTTCCGAAGCCAACCGTTGCTTCTATGCCATTTTGATCTTCGGCGCGCTCCCCACCGCCCTTCATCACGCTCCTCGCCAGAGTAACTGTTTCGGCCGGCAAATACTCCCCAACTCCCTATAATCCGATCCCTATCTAGCAATTACAGTTGCATACCCTTTCAATCTCATTTATCAATCCATGCACGTGCGGACCCGTGGACAAGGTCCACCGCCCGGGTCCACCACCGGCTCACCAGCTCCACCCAATCCGCAAGTGCCACCTCACTAATGACCCAATCGCTGTCGACAACCACTGTCGTATTTGCTAAAAGCCCCTCTCTTTTCCCCTTTATCAACTCGCCGTCCATCCTCTTTAGAAAGTAATTCTAATGGAGCCCTTTCTTTTTTCTGTTTGGCCCCTTCCCTTTTTCGACTTTGAAGTCGCCATCCAGACCCGGTGTAAAATCAGTTTTGATGTGTTTTATTTCTAAAATAAGTTCCAGTTATTCACAACAATGACACCCGACCCTATTTAGGCCATAACTTCTCCGTTTTAGCTCCTATTAGCGTGCCTTTTGCATCTGTGTGTTCGTAGCAATGTGTAAAACATTTATAAAACCTTTTCACTCGCCTTATATTTCAAGACTGAGATAGTAGTACATGCTGGGTGGTTTCGAGAATAGTTTACACTTTACACGTACCCAATTTATTCGTCAGCAAGATTATAATTCGAACAATAGTTGCATTTTTTTTTGCATATATATTATAAATTTCCGTCACAAATACAAAACAATACACAAGGCTTCTGTTACGTTTATATGGCCCAGCGTACGCTGTACGCAAGACGTAGTACATACTGGCTTATTTCATGGACGACCGGAATTCCGGATCAGCGCGCGCGTGTGGGATGCCATTTACGAGGCGAAGGAGGTGAAGCCGGCGTCAGCACCGCCGCCGACGCGGTGGTGGAACCGGGAGACGGCGCAGTCCGTGGCAAAGAGACCCGACGAGCGGTACTTGTCGGCGCCGCCCATGATGGGCATCTTGGAGCCGATATCGAGCTTGTTCACGTAGTCCGGGCGGTAGGTCTGTCCGAGCACGCCGTCGACGTCCTTCGTCAGGCCGCCGGGGAACTGGTAGGAGACGTCGAGGTGCACGAGCGAGTCCCCGCTCGTCTTGCCGTAGGCGTGGACGCGGGAGTCCTCGTCGGTGATGGGCACGGCGTTGGCGGAGATGGCGAACACGCCGTCCAGCTCCACGACAACGGCGTTGACGGCGTCGGTGCGGGTGACGGACAGTCCCGGCACGGCCCTCGACGCCCACCGCGCGCCCTTGGCGGGCTCGACGTCCACGGGCTCGCCGTCCAGCGCCACCACCACGTGGTCCTCGTCCTCGTCCCACTCGGCGGCCCTGCGCGCGCCCACGTAGAGCCTGTGGCCGTCGGCGCCGTCGGCGCCGCCGAAGGTGACGCCCAGCGCCTGCACCCAGGTGAAGTCGCGGCCGGAGTCGGCGTTGTGGTTGCCCATGAAGCGCGCGTTGATGTGGAGGCGGTCGTCGGAGACGAGGCAGAAGCTCTCGTCCTTCTTCCCGTGGAAGTAGAAGGTGTTGCCGTCGGCGCCCGTGAACCGCGGGTCGCCGCACGAGGTGCCCGGCATCAGATCGCACACTGATCATGTCACCGGACACGATGAGATCAGTTCATCATGAGATCAGAATCAGAACAACAAGGAACACGACGACGAGAAAGACAATAGTGAAATATATACTGACGGCAGAAGGTGAGGCAGTAGGCGCAGTAGGCGAGGCACTTGTTGGGGCAGCGGGCGGGGCACTTGACGTAGCAGGAGGCGCCCCAGTCGGTGGTGCAGGTGATCTCGAAGTCGCGCTTGTGGTACCGGTTGGTGACGACGGTGGAGAACTTGCCGTTGCGCGGGGGGTTCTTGGGGTCCCCCGGCGTCGATGTCGTCGGGCCCTGCTTGCTGGGCCTCCGGAAGAATATCCCCGCCGCCGATGCCGTGCCGGACGACAGCGCCAGAGCCAGGGCCACCACCAGCAGAGCGGCAATGGCTCCACGGGCCGCCATTGCTGAGACCGGTCGAGGTGAGTCCGTGTAGTCAAGCTATAGATCGACGATGGATGATGATGGCTGGAGATCGAGATGAATCTGTGTTGTGCTCTCTGACCATGGAGAGCAGGGAGTCTTATACGATCGAGGCGTCAGGCGTGTGGCACTTTCCAGGGGGTGGATGGATTGGAGGTCAAGTGACTTGAGAGGGAAGTGGCGTAGTAGGTTGCAAAGTAATAGTGCAGGCGTGCTTCGTCGTTCGCCGGCCGGAATTAAGGGGTCGTCGCGGCGAGCTGAAGGTGGAAATGATGGCACGTACGTCGCCGTACCCGGCAGCCGGCGAAGTGTGCATGTTACTGTTATATACGGTGCGCTACGCAACGTGTAGTGTAGAGCTCTAGCTAGTCCAGCTTTTTCTTCTCTGACGACGAGGATGGGATGAGTTGACTTGCATAAATCATAAATTTCTTGCATCTTTCTATAAGGCCATTCTTGCTGTAAAATGTTATTTCTATGACTATAATACTAACTAGAATATAATAAAATCTACATGGTCTGTCGCTTGCGGTTCAAGCCCACAAACCGCAAGACATGTCACTGCCTGTTGAAACCACGAACCGGCAGCAGTGATACCTATCACTGCTGGTAGAGGCCACGAACCGGTAGTCTGATAGTAATAATATCCTTTTTCTAGGAACTAAATAATTTTCAAAATCTAAGAACTTAAAAAAGAATTTCTAGGAACTAAATAATTTTAAATGAAAAGTAGTAGACTACAAAGTTTCACTTCCCTTCAAGTACTATAACTTTGATTTATGTTGTTTCTCTATCCGAGGTAATTTTAAAAACATTAAAATATTGAATTCCAAATTATGAAAACTTTAAACTACATTTTTGAGACTTAAATGATTTTAAATGGAGAAGTCATAACTACAAAAAATGTAGATCTTTCTGAGTACTATAACTTTGAGATAAAGTTCGTCTTGATACGACTTCATTTACTGTGCTCCACCTACTTTCAGAAATAGGCCAATTGTCAGCCGCCTCTAGTAATATATTTCCGAGACAACTGGAATTCCAGCCGTGATAGAGCTTGCCGGTCTAAAAATCGATTTATAGAGACATACTAGCTCAGAAACTATTTTTAGAGGAAGATTTTAATAGAGCCACCTATACCCTAAAATGGAGGCATCTCTAAAAAATGATTTTTGTAGTTGTGTATATAAGTGTGAGCATGTGCTGGTATTTTTGTGTTTAAGTGTGTGTATAGAAAAAACAAGTCGAAGAGAAGAATTGAGGATTCTATTTTTCTACATACTTTCTTGGTCCAGAGAAATTCTGGCATCTGTAAAAGATTGCAATTCTGGCATAATACCAAGTTAATGTATCAATATTTATATGATACAAATCAGTATCTTTAGATTTGTCGTGAGATATATTTCATAGTATACTTATTGATGTTATAAACTTATTATACCTATATATTTGGTTAAACTTTAGGCACTTTTATCTAATAATGCATGCCTAGAACTACATTCTTCTTTTTACGGAGGTAGTACATATCAAAGTGGTGTTTTTTTTTCGTTGAAAGCCTACCCATCTGAAGTCAATAATTGTGATTCCGCCAAATTTCTAGTTAATAGAAGTCCTTTGCATTTGAAGGAAAAATAAATTAAGTAGAGTGTTGACCAAACTAATGTTAGAACATTGATTAGTTTATGTTTTACTTCCATTCTTTACTAGAATGAGGGTGGTGAGACAGAGTTGATGTATATAGTCCTATTATGTAAATTGGATTCGACTAATCTACCGCAAATCTTTGTTACCTAGCTTGTCCTATACGAACTACTTTCCTCCCTGCCCGAAGGCATGCGTATCTGTCTCGTGCTAGCCCGTACACACAAATCAGTAGTATAGGACGTGGTAAGTATAAAAATGATAAATTGGCCGTGCACTTTTTAATTCTGAAAGAAATTACATATGCCCACCCCTCTTTCAAGATTGGCTACCGGATATTGAGATTGTTGAAGTCACCGCAAGCGAAATGCACTATACATCTCGCTTAACATTGGAAGAATACCATAATTTTTTCATAGGCGGGAGAAAATCAACGTGTACCGATCGAGTAGGATTTGAATGTGTAAGCAACTGAGCTGTATGTCCACAAACCACACACATCAATGAAACAGGACTAGGACACAAAACATAGTCAATTGATCGTGGTCAAGTTTGTTTAGGTTGTTAGTGCGAATTAAGCATATATATATATATATATATATATATATATATATATATATATATATATATATATATACATACGTGTTCGAGTGACCTTTCAGCTAAATATACTTTCTTGTTTCAACTGTAGGTAACGTGTACGTACTTGTAGCTGGAATAGTAACTTCGTTAATTAATCTTGCTGGCCAAATCTGTCCATCTTAAGTTTTGTTGGGATGCATGTGTATCCACCTCAATCCACATGTGTTGGAGTGGAATGGAATGAAATTTAATTTAATTCTACTCTAATCTATTTCAAAACATGTAGATTGAGATGAATACATGCGTATCCAAACAAGGCCTCGAGGTGTTCATTTGAGTGACATCCACTCATAATGCCAGTAAACAACATGTCGAGATGTCTGGAGTCGAGCGCGTTCGCTAGTCAAACTAGCTAACCCAACTTGGTGACATGCTTACGTACGCATCTAAAAGAAACTTTGTGATACACTCGCGTACATGCGCCGACCGCCTATAGTACACAATATATATAGTATTGTCAGTGGCGGATCTAGGACAAAATCCTAAGGAGAGCTGAATAAGCTGTTGTGTTGGCCGCTGGCCGCTGGCCGCTGGCTACTACCGTGCTACGCTGCTGCTCGCTGGTGCGGATGTTGTGCTGCGTTGCTGCTCTATGGACGCGGCCACGGTAGGGGGGGCTCGAGCCCCCAGCCCCGGTGGCAGATATAGTACAGGACTCAGCGCCACCAGCACCAGTTGAAGCCTTAAATACACGCACGCTTCCTATAGAGAGAGATAGAGTAGAAGCTGGGCCGGTAGAGTAAACATGGACCGGATCACCTCTTCTTATTGGGCCTACCGCGTGTGGGTGGGGACAACCGATCCAACGATCGACTAGCGCTTTAATTGGGGCCAACCGATGGAAATGATTCGGCCCAACGCAGAAACAACGTGAATTTCAACCGCATGACAGAGGGTCGGAGGATCCATGTTGCCAAACAACAGAAGCAGCACGCATCTTCCCTCGGAGATCCATTTTGGCAGCAACAACGGCCGCAAGCAACTCGACGATATTCGATGTGTGTTTCTGGCAAACCAATTTTTTACAAAATGGTAAAGTTCTGGCCTCTGCCGTCGCATTATATCGAAGTCTTACAAGTTTTTAGCTCAATTACTGAACAAGAATAAAAGAGAGATGGCAATAATAAACGGAAGGGAAAAAATCATAAGCAAATTCTATTAATGCTTCTAGAGCCTCTGAATGTAGTCGATATATGTTCGGAGCGACGACCTCAAATCATTAGTAAACGACTTTTGATCCACTTTTAAATTTGGCTTTAGTCCCGATATTTTTTGCGTCCAGGGCTAGAGAAACCTTTAGTCCCGGTTGGTAGCTCCACCCAGGACTAAAGGTCCCTGCCCAACGGTTATCGAGGTGTGTCAGAGGCACGTCAGTGCGAGAATCTTTAGTCCCGGTTTAAGACATGAACCCGGACTAAAAGTGTCCCGGTTTGAGACACGAACCTGGACTAAAGGTACCTTTAGTCCCGGTTTATGTCTCAAACCCGTACTAAAGGTGTCTCCAAACTGAATTTAAAAGGAAAGCGTATCTTATCTAAGTTAGATGTGTGGTGGTAGGTGAGATGGTAACGCGTGCAAGAGCTGAAGTGGGAGGTCGTAGGTTCGAATCTCCACAATTGCAACTTTTTTTACCCAATAAACACCTCTACTCCCGGTTGGAGGAACCGGGACTAAAAATCAAGACCTTTAGTCCCGATTGCGTAGTCCCGGCTTCAAAACCGGGATTAAAGGGGGTTGAGAACCATGACTAGAGCCCGTTTCTCTACTAGTGAATGCTCTGCTGGCCAAGCTGATAATCTCCCTTATATCCTTATGCTGCAGCAACGCACAATATGTTCCTCTGAATGTAGTCGATATATGAGTGACATGGACGGCCCAGATTCATCGAGAGGAAGCAGGGATAGCTGGCGATAAGAGTCACAATAATTGTATTGAGCGGTCAATTGTCTCGGTAATTTGATTGACGGTGGTCGGTGGATAAAAACACTACAGTGTACATGCTCAAACAAGTCTATAAGAAAAATTGTAAATCCCCGACGTTTGTAACATCACCCGATATAGTGAAGATTTGCTGGCTGGTACCCGTGGTTTTCCCTTCATCCTTGGGAGGGTTTTCCACGTAAAAAATCTCGTGTCATCTGTATTTGATCTGTTGTTCTTCATCGTTTATATTGCCTATCATTTCTAACACAATATATAGATTCGAACTAATTAAACTAAACTAAACTAAACTAAATCTAATCTAGATCCTAGCTAACCGAGCTAGGATCATCTATCCCTCCTTCACCGCTTTGCTGGAGGCTCATTGGTGGCCTCCTCCTCGTCCTCATTCTCATCGTCGTCGTTCTCCTCCTCCTCCTCCTCCTCGGTGTCCCCACCGTCGATGAAAAATCGGCCATCGTCAAAGTCCCACAGACTCTGATCAGGCGTGCCCTTGTCCCCAAGACTCCCCTAGCGCTCATATTCTTTCTCGCTAGAGGAGTCATTGTCTGGTAGCTTGAAGCCTATCATATATGGTTCAAGTTGGAATGAGATGTAGAAATAAGAAGGGTGGTTTCAGAGGACAGATGGTGTGAATATGTAGAGCATTGGATGAGCCCTTCGCCTTCTCCCAACAGGATTAATGGTGCTGAAAGGGCGTTGGAAGCTAGGACATTGAACAGTCGCGAAGACTTTTGACCACCATTCCACCTGTGGCC